CAATTTTGAATTTGGAATCTTAAATCTTTTTATTGTCTACGCCCGCGTTCAAATTTAGAACGCGGTTATAGCAGCTGTCACGCACGTGTCATAGGTTTTGTCAGCCAGTGTTACGGAATTCGGTTTTCGAAATGTGAAAACAAAACAGGAAGTGCATTTGGAAATGGAACGCGTGTCATTTCGCTCTCGGACTGCGAAAGTGGCCGTTGTGTTCAAGCGTGGAAGATCTCTAGGGCTGTCAGGGTTGGCAGAAAGTTTGAACGTATTTATGCCGGTGCATTTAACTTGACAGTTTTTTTTAATTAATAAACGAAACGCAGGTGAGCTGTATTAACTGTCTTTAACACCGCTTTGATCTTGACATAGCGCTAATTAATGTCAAATATAAACAAATACCTAAATTATATAAATCATTCAGTTTAATAATCTTTCTTCTAATATTAATTCTGTAATATTCAAGACGACTTGCCAGTAACATTGGCAAAAGATGTCTACCACAGACTTGTGCAGTAAAAATGACATCTGAAACGCTCCAAAACCTAAAAAGATCACTCGAACAGCAATAAAACAAACAGTTTTCTTTAAAGCAGTCCATCGTGTCGGTGACCCTTCACTCCCGAAGCACGCGACGCATCGCGTAGGGCTAGTGTTGTTTTGTCGATAGTCCGCTAACGATAGTAACAGCAAAAATAATAGAATCGATGGGGCATTTTGAGGAATACTATCGCATCGACAGGGCATAAGCAGTACATTTTGGTCACGGCAATACTATTGTTATTGACAGTATAGTAGTTAGTAGGGCTTGTTCTAAGTCCTCCTGGTTAGCTAGCTACTACCGACTTGCCTAAGTCTGTCGCCATAACAACAATGTTAACAGCATTGTTGTGTTCCGGCAGTTAGAGGTAAGATAGCTAGTTCCTTTGTGGTTGAGGATTCCGGGTGCATCTCGCTTCCATCATCACTTTGTAATTTAGGCCAAGAGCATCCACGTTGTGATAAAAAAAAAACAAATAACTTAAATTGTCCGATAGCCCGAAGATAAGGAGACATGTAAAGTGGGCTACCTTTTTTGTATTATATTTAACGTTCATAATAAATAAGTGCCAAAATACTGGTCAAAATTATTAAAATATTTTTGATGTGATTTGAGCACTATCGATATCCCTATATTTTTCGTGGTCAACTCAAACCATCGATAGTGAGACCATCGATGGTTCCACAACACTACGTAGGGCTCTATTTATATTGGTGTTTACCCTTTGCATTCGAAAGGGAGACTGCATTCTCTGGGATTGCGGTGTTATGTTTCTCGCTAGAAATCTTCGGATATCAACTTATCTTATTATGTCTTATGTCCAACTTACGCAAGTTTGTCAGCAAACCATATAAAAGTAACGGATGAGTAATTTAGATTGCTATATTATTGCTTGTGTTCGTAATTTCATGAACTGATTTAAATATTAGTGGATAAATCTCCTCTCCAGTCTGTTTTAAAAGGCTAACTTAGATTAAACATACTTAAACTCACCTGACTTTTATCTATAACTAGCGTGGATCCCGTTTTACCCCCTGTGGGGTTAAATTTTGCAAAATCCCGTGTTAGTGAGCACTGCGTTCCAAAAGGAACCCCCATGCAAAATTTGAGACTCCTAGCACTTGTAGTTTCTGATATTTCGTTATGAGTGAGTGAGTCAGTCAATCAGTGACCTTTCGCTTTTATAGATAATTTCATCAAAATCATTGTTAGTGTTATTTAATTAACACTAGTTCAGGTTAGAAGCATTGCTTTTCACGCTAAATGTTTTTAGAAATCAATGGCATATCTCCATCTAGCGGTATTTACAATAATCCATCTTCATTTTTGGCAAAGACCAGGTTGTTGGCATTTATATTAGTGTATACCTAGTTGACAGCAGTCACCTGCTAACCGGCTGGATACTTACCATTTGGCAACGAAACTTAATAAACTAGTCAGATATTTAGGCCAGATCTGTCTTTCTTTTAGACATGGGTTGATTCAGCAAAGTTTTTTGACTCTATTTCTAACTCTCGATCAGCTCACGGGCTCATTGAGTTAATTCAAAATTACACTATGGAATATGGCGCAAAAATATAGATCTGCAACAATCTCATAAGTTTTTATTTATTCCTATTGATTGATTGAAAATCAAACTACAACTCTTCAATGTTTTTTGCGGGAAACTCAATAATTATTCGAAAGGAAGACTTTCCAATTCTCCCGGTCTTGCACAATGCGAAATATTGACGGTGTAAGTGTGAGTCAACAACACTCCCGGCAACAACTGTTGGCGTAGCGTTGCGTTCTCTGCCAGACTGGGTGCGGTCTGCGGTCAGGTCAAAATACAGCTTGCATCATGTATAAACAACATAGTCGATCCGAGCAAGACAACCTGTCAGCAGCGCGGTTTGCGTTCTTTTCTCGTGTCCGCACGGAGAGATCGCATCAATACACAATTTATAGAGGCCGACAATGTTGTCCATACATAATGCTGCGTTCACTTGACTACAGAACGTATCCATTGTAGCCCTACTCATCATCTATGACATGGCATTTCCTCGTCGCCAAAAATTCTTCGCGTTTGAAGTTTTATCTGTCATATTCGTCACAGATAATTTCAGATGCGCTTCACTTCCTCATTCAAGGCTGGCACGCGCCCAAAGATTACAACATCGATTGTGACGAAACTAGTGTTTATTTTTGTTGTTATCGCCTATATTTTTGGACGTGCATAAAATTTTACGGGTCGTGAACCCCGTGATTATGTTTACTGCATTTTGAACTATCAGTTACGCTGGTTTATGGTTAGTCATTGAGTTAGATTAGTTCATTGTTTTGTTTTAGGGTATTTTATGTGAGGATGATTGAAATTAATTATTTGGCTTATTGGTGATTCGTTGTAACACAACGACGAAGCTCTTGGCCTTTATCTCACCTGAGGGTAAGTGACGATCAGACCGAAGGTGGAAGCGAGCTTCACCTGGAATCCTCAACCACGGAGGAACTGGCTATCTTACCTCTAACTGCCGGAACACAACAATGCTGTTAACATTGTTGTTATGGCGACAAACTTAGGTAAGATGGTTGTAGCTAGCCAGGCGGACTTAGAACAAGCCCTACCACCAACCAAATTTGAGAATGTTTGAAATTAATTATTTGGCTGGAGCTTGGATGATTCGTTGTTATTCATTGGTGAACCTTTGTCAATAGGAAATACACCTCTAGTTTCTGATATCTAGCGCGACCATGATGCGATGTGACGTCACCTTACAACAGTTGACTTCGACAACCGTAAGCATGTGATGACGTTGTCAAATTGTATAAAAACTTAATGACATGCTCAATGATCAAGTCGTTGACATCGGCTATGTGCCAGAGGTTAAATAGGTAATTGTATACAAACATCAGTTACTAAAAAGTCAATGTTTCCTATAATTGCTACTTGTTGATGTCCTCAGATGGTTTTGTAATGCGGTTGATACCATAAGAGTTTTATGTCATGTATTTTTATGTATACCAATAAAATGCTAAATGGTTCGCGCTAAACCGAGGCAGTTCTTTAGCTAATAAAAGGGCATTTATTTCTGCGTCTTTTTTAAGAGAATAATTGATTGAATCAAGCTGCATATTAATTTTTTACTGCTTTTTAAAATGTTTTAAACTCAAGTGTGATTTAAAACGGATGTTTCAAGTAGACTCGAAACAATGCCTTCATCTATTTTAACGCAAACCAGATATAGAGCTGTGTGAGTCACTCTTTCAGCGTTATACCATTTTGTCTGTCTGTGCCGCCTTTGTTAATATCGAACATCTACATGTCATTAGGTGGAATTCGAATTATCTACTAATAAAGATATCGACGCATTTTATAGGCTCATACGTCATTAATTCTATTAGTTAATCAAGACTCAAAACGCAAAAACTGTTTTTTGTTATAGTGGCTTTATTCCGTTACTATCGATTGGCATGTGCCTTTGTCATGCCAATTGTCAGTTTTCTTTAAGTTTTAAGCCCTTAATGGAACGTACATTACCTATATTCAAATCTCTCTCTCTTCAAGTCTATGTAAGGTCTCTTATCCTGTCCTAGTTAAAATCTGAAGATAGTGTGCAAAAATAAATTGAATTAATTTTTTCACACCGAACGGCTCTCTCAACTGATCACCGCCCCGTTCCAAACAAAAATAAACAAACACTCCACGCATTTCTCGCAACGTGCATCCATCCAATGTTGCCTTTTTTTACAACTGCGTCTAATTTCGTACGTGGCCACGAGCCAGTCTGAGCGCGGGCGCACCATCGTGCACTTCTAACGTTTACTTTCTTTAGTAAATTGCTATAAAAACTCCTTTCAACGTTTTTGGAGGGAACTGAAAACTCTTTTCTCCAAACTCTATGGTTTCAAGTTACCTCGTCGCCAACTTGAGGTGGTTTTGAATTTGGAATTCGAATAACTGGTTTGACGCTTCTTGTGATTAATTCTGTAAATATTTTAGACCCTAATTGTGTGTTTTGGTTTAAATTAATATAACCTTTTTGTAGAGCCGAAATTGAGAGTCCTGTACTGGCCAGAGACAGTCGTTTTACGTTCGAATACGGAAGAATGCGAAAGGAATTTCGTCAGTGTGCTACAGATAATCTATCACGTTTAATCCGGACCATAGACTATTAATAAACTTTAAAGTATCATAGACAGTGTTAACTTTTAAGAATTACAAGGAAGTGTTTATGTTGATCTTGAAAACAGTTGAAAATGGGGAAAAAGAAGAAAAATAGTGGAAAGAGAGCTGGCAACAGATTCTTTCGTTGGATTAGAAGGTAAAAGTGTGGAAAATAACAGGTGTTACTGTGTTGTGAACTAACCAAGTATAAATGTTGCAAGTGTGATAAAATATAACTATGTTGACGTTTGCATGTGCTGTGCTAGACATTCATGGCATCTCGAATGATTAAACTTTAATGGATTCTACGTTAATGCCTAAATGAAGACTACGGTGAAGGTAATGAAACGTTTTATTAATACTACATTGTATGTTGACTTACTATGTTTACGTACTTAATTTATACAATTTATTTTAGATACTAAAGAAAAAAGTAGCAACCCTAAGTTTGAAAAATGGATTTGACAGTTTTGATTTGACGTCTAACCGGAAGGAGTTATTTTTGTTTAAAAAAAAATCAGCATGAGGTATTGTGAAGAATAAACTTAAAGTTAGATGGTACCTACTTTCCTTCAATTATTTAATGTAAAAAATGTGTAAAATAGAATAAAAAGTCTAATCTGCGGGAACTCTAAAGAAAAGATATTTTCTCCACAAGTATTTAGGGCTTGGTATTTACTATGTTGACAGTCATTAATTACTACTACTCATCAACCAGTCAAAACAAAGTGTGATTTACCAACCATTCCTAACTTCCTACTGGCCCAAAAACTGTATTTATTTTCTTTATTCAATAAATCATCTTAAAACAGGTATAATCTTGTCAAAACAGCCGTATAACAAGATGTTTGAAGTAGTGTTGCACCATCGAATTTATCGATAGTATTGTCACGATAGCGTCTCATGAGATTCCATGAGAAACACTATAAGCACGCGGATCACAATTTCATTATGTTTGAAATTACGCGCGGCTTTCTTAATATTTTAGCTAACCCAACAAGCAAAGCTGCAAGATTAAATTTCTTTCTAAATAGTGAATGTTAATGTAAGCGTAGGTTAAGATTCGATGGGACTGACATGTTTTCAAACGAAAGTCCCTAAATAAAAACAGAATAAAAAAAAAATACGCGCGGCAAACCTGATTATATTTTTTCTAAAATTATTCTAACACCAGCTATTTTCCAGTGAAAGTCATATCAAAATAACTAGTTTTTTCGGGGATAATATTAGTAACTGAGGGCTGATTGTGAGTTTACCTCAAACGTCCTCACTAGTGAAACTAGTACATTTTAGTTCTTGAAAGTTTCCGCTAGGGGCGCTGTACAATCCGTCATACATTTAATATCTTTTTTTACGCGCTCACTAGTGAGAACATTTGATGTAAACACACTTGTGCACTAACTAGATAGCGTAGTTACTGTCGATATCATAATAATGTAGTTCCGTTTTAGTAGAATAGTAGTCGAATTCCACAGATATCGATAGTCGATAAAATCAAACTATTACGGTGCAGCACTACTCTATAAGAATGGTAGCTCTACCACAAGCTCTACTCTAGCTATGGCTTATCATTTATCAAGATAATGTCGTTTCCGGGTTCAGTGACCTCTTCTACTATGAATCAAATAAAAATACATAGAGAGATACTTCTTACCCGTTGAACAATAGTTTTAAAATGACATTTCTATACTAAGGCTGGGTTGCTCCACCTTACTTTAACTTTATCAAACGTCAAAAATCTTTCAAACTCCAAACAAAAACACCGGTTATTGTTAAAGTGACGGTTAAAGTAAGTTGGTGCAAATTCGCCTTGGTGAACACAAAAATATTTTGACTCGCATACATCCCAGTAATGTAGCAAGTTCTAAAGTAACTGCATTAGAAAAATAGGTCACTCCCAGGAAGTCAATAACGAAGTCGTAGCATCTTCCACTTTTGGATAAATGCCATAAGAATCTGAGAAACCCCGTAGACTGAAGACTTTTTGTCGGCCGATAGTTTGGACATGTACCTATGTAGTATGGACATGTATGAAAGTGTGCACATTAATCTTCATACAAATTAGAAGCCGACCAAAGTAAGTCAGCTAAAATTCTGTAATCTGGAGTCCAAGACTACAGATTTTTTTGGCTGACCGTTTTTTTCGGGCTGTTAATCAGTATGGATATGGACATGTATGAAAGTGCGCATATTACACTGATTTGGTATCGGCCGATCTGGGGGCACGGCAGTGCCCCCGCCAAGTCGAGCGCGAAGCAAACACTGCCGTACCATCCTTTACTGGAACCATTTCGCCGCATTTTCAGGCTCCTATTTGAGAACCTCTGGATAAGACCAGAACGCAGAAATTTTCGTCATCTAGTAAGCTATAATCACGAACTTAAAATCCAAAATTTCAAGTCTGTTGGTCATTTAGTTCCGAAGTTAAGCGAAAGCAAAGTTTCGCATTTACGACACTCACTCACTGATAATCATCAAAATAGAACTAGTACTTCCCATAAACTCAAGAGAGCTGAAATTTGGTACAGAGTTAGGGTTTAATGGCCACATAAAGGGAAAACTATAAAAACTAGGAAAATCGAAGATCTAGAGTAACACCACATTCATAATTGAATGATCAAACGANTTGTCGCGGGATTTACTAGTGTAAAAAATACATTAATTACGTAACTTGATTTTGCTAAAAGTCTGATCTGTGAAAAAATCAAATAGGTAAATTATACATTATTTCTTTATTATTATGTATGATGTACTGTCTTAGGTACGATACAACTACGGATTAAGATCGTTTAGTCGACGCAGCGTTGAAATTGTACAGATAAATGCAGTTTGCGCACTCACTACGCGACGTCAAGCAATAAAAACCTAAAATTCGAACGCCAACTTTTTGCTACAACGCTCTTAATAGGCTAGCTAGTTGATACCATCGGTCAGTTGAAATTCTTTTCATGAAGTACTGAAGACGCTACATCATCTGATACACGCGTACGCTCGCGCCCCAGAGCCGGACTTCCCTGGGCATTTATTGTTAGAGCAGTATCAGGCACAGGTAAGTAATAGGCTAGTTGACGTCATCCGTCAAGTGACATGCTTTACATTTTTTCATGTCAAAAAAGGTTCCTACATAGATTTTCTTGGTAAAGGGCAGTTCACTTGACACAGTGCACGTGGAGCGCTTTTGAAGGATTACAACTCGCTAGCAAAAAGGCGAGCTGCGAGTAGAATTTATTACATGCATATTTTTCAAGAATTATTCCAGGTGGGCGTGGTTGGGAAGGTATCACGTATTTTTCCAAAACTACACCGTAAAATGTTACAGTTAAAGTCGATGTTCCCTCGCCTAGCCTTTTTTCAATATTGTGCTGTATAACTTTACGTTTAAAGTCGATATTTGCTTATAGGTGGGCGCGGCAGTGCGCGCAGCTTTCGCAGGCGAGACGGCATCCCACGTGACGGCTGCCGCTTGTGACGTATGCTCCGCTTGGATCGGCTGCGGTGTCGCAAGGGACATTAACGACTTGCGAAGGTAGGTGCTACATAGATAATACTCGTTATTGCATTCTCACCACCAATAGACTTCTATCTAAGCAACTGGCCTCCCACTCGGTGTTCTGACGATCTGGTACAGGTCACGGGAAATACCTGGATGCGGACAAAGCAGGACCGATCGTTTTAGAAATCTTTGAAAGAGGCCTTTGTCCAGCAGTGCACGTCTTTTGGTTACTATAGTCTGGTCCGTGAGCACGTAGAATTTTGTCCAATGACCCCTAGCTACCCATCCTTATCGCTCGCGCGTAATTATGTTGCTATAGCGCTCGCACACTCACTGCGGGTGCCAGTCGCACAGTCGCGACAGCAATATAATTACGCGCGAGCGATAAGGATGGGTAGCTAGGGATCATTGGACAAAATTCTACGTGCTGACGGACCGGGCTTTAACCATAATAATTTTCTTTTTATAGGCCAGTAGAATTAAACACAAAAATTGATTAAATCGGAAATAATTCCTACAAAAGATTTTTTTGCTTTAATGGCTTCATTGGTTGCCCATTAAGACTCTCCTAAGTTTTCGACTTCGACGGAGTTGTGCTTAAGTGGTGGGGGCCCCCGAAAGCGGCGTTTTTTCGGTTTTCCGGTTATACCGCGTAAAGGACTTACCCTATCGAAAAGTGGTCTTCATGACGGTTAAAGGGCACTTAATCCTGCATTGAATAAGACCAAATTCATATGTTTTGGACAAACCGTTCTCGCGCTAAAGTTCGGCAAAGTAGAAAATATACGTATAATTAATGACCCTCTCCACGTCCAATGGCTTGTTACCCACATGCTTCCAAGCCTTGTAAAGGGTCGCCTTAACCAGTGTAACCCTAACAAGGCTCACGAGTTTGATTCGCTTATCCTTGTTCGTCCCAGCCGTTCCTTAACTGCGGTTGCTGCACCTCTTCCTGGCACTCTCCTGAACGACTCTGTGTTACCTAATGTGGCTGCCCCTCTTCCTTGTACCCTCCTGTACGATTTCATTGCTTAGCCATATGCCTGGTCCAAGGTTCGACGCCACAAAATCAACTTCGTACGCGTGAAAATAGTTTAAATACTATTTCCCGTGCTTGCAACATTTTTCTTTACTGCTTCGCCTCTATTAGTCGTAGAGTGATTGTATATATCCTATAGCCTTCCTCAATGTATGAGCTATTCAACACAAAAATAATGATTTCAATCAAACTAGTAATTCTTAAGATTAGCGCGTTCAAACAAACAAACAAAAAACTCTTCAGCGTTTTAATATGAACTTGTTGTTGTTGATTTTTGGCGTCGAACCTTAGACCAGGCATACGGCTAGGCAACGTAGTCATGCAGGAGGATACAAGGAAGAGGGGCAGCCACAGTAGGTAACACAGAGTCGTTCAGGTGAGTGCCAGGAAGAGGTGCAGCAACCGCAGTTAAGGAACGGCTGGGACGAACAAGGATAGGCGCATCAAGCTCGTAAGCCTTGATAGGGTTACACTGGTTGAGGTGGCCCTTTTCAAGACTTGGAAGCCTGTGGATAACAAACCATTGGACGTGGAGAGGGTCATTAATTATACGTATATTTTCTACTTTGCCGAACATTAGCTCGAGAACGGTTTGTCCAAAACATATGAATTTGGTCTTATTCAATGCAGGATTAAGTGCCCTTCAACCGTCATGAAGACCACTTTTTGATAGGGTAAGTCCTTTACGCGGTATAACCGGAAAACCGAAAAAATGCCTCTTTCGGGGGCCCCCACCACTTAAGCACAACTCCGTCGAAGTCGAAAACTTAGGAGAGTCTTAATGGGCAACCAATGAAGCCATTAAAACAATAAAATCTTTTGTAGGAATTATTTCCGATTTAAAAGCTAATTCTACTGGACTATTAATTTTTTTCCCAATTTGAATGTTACAGGGTTCATCACCTTTTGGTATCTAGTCTGGACAAGTTGAATACTAAAGGCAATACCACTCTGATTTACAATGAAAGCATGGCAACATTGGAGAAACTTTCCATTCTGAAAGCATGGGCAGAAGTAAGTAGTGAACATTACATTGACATTATTATAGATGATAGCACGTCAAGTTTAACACGGAGGCCTCTTATGTGCTAAAAGCAAATTTGCAACAAAAATGTCTGATGTGCTGTCGCCTAAAGTCCGGTCTGTGAGCACGTAGAATTTCGTCCAATGACCCCAAGCTACCCATCCTTATCGCTCGCGCGTAATTATATTGCTGTCGCGACTGTGCGACGCGCGCCCGCAGTGAGTGTGCGAGCCGGACTTTATACATATTTCAAAATTAGTTTTATAATCCATTTTGTCCTTGGTTCATTTGTTTGTTTAAATTATAAATACAATCTTTTCAGGTATACATAGTAGCCATGGTGAGCAACGACAGTGCTCCCGGCAGCTACGTCAAACAACTCGACACAAAACCTTTCAACAACAAAGCGGAATTGGCAAAATGGCGGAACACTCTACTCCAAAACAATAATCAGATAGACAACGCGGATGTAGAGAGCGATGACGAATACGGGGAGTTTGAGTCGAAAGGGGAGAGTCTGCTGAAACTGGTCGAGCCAGAGTTGGATAGCTTGGGCGAAAACTGGATAGCTGCCTTGAAGGATCACGCGCTATTGAGTCTGCCGCCTGGTAAGTTTTTTATGCTATGCAAAGTTTTGTATCTAAATTCGTCCATTTCTCACCCATTTTTTCTCAAATAAGCTTTTTCGAATAGTCCGTTCGTTGTGGTTCATTGGACGGACCTTTAAGAACTTCAAATAGCTATTTACTGGGACGCAGATCGCGTGAGGAATAGGGCATGTGTCTGTCGCGGATTTATTCGTCGCTCAGGTCTACGTGGATCGTGAATAGCGATACACGATGTGAGTGCTTCGCATCGCATAGAACGTGCTGTATAGGTTTCATACATTTACCGTCCGTCGCGAATACCAGCGAGGTTACTCCGTAAAACGTTATGCGAAGTTTCGAATGTTGCCATCCTTCTCACGCAAAGCGAGATACCAGAATGAGCGACGGCGACAGATATACCTGACAACTACGTAAATAGCTTATCCGCGTCATCCACGTCACACTGAATAGCGCCTTTGCAAGTTAGATTATTCAGTCGGTTATTTTATTTTTTACAGAATTCGCGTCACAACTACCACACGGGGGCGGAGCATTTTACAGCGCAGAAACAGCGGAGGCGTCGCGGGCGCACTATTCGCGCGCATGGCCCGCGCTTTTACTAGCGGCCGCGTTGCGGTACAACGCGCGCGCTTCTTCAGATACTGGCGCGCGGGCGAGCGGTAAGTGAGAGCTACGAGCTAGGCATACTAAAGCCTGGTCCGTGAGCACGTAGAATCCCGTCCAATGACCCCAAGCTAGCCATCCCTATCGCTCGCGCGTAATTATGTTGCTCGCACACTCACTGCGGGCGCCCGTCGCACAGTCGCGACAGCAACATAAATACGCGCGAGCGATAGGGATGGCTAGCTTGGGGTCATTGGACGGGATTCTACGTGCTCACGGACCAGGCTTTACAACTTACGATCTAGGCGTTATGCGCGCGCCTGGTCCGCGCTGCGGTACAATGCATGACTGAAACATTTGACTTCTTTTATGTTCATACCATACTTAATACTTTATGGTATTTCAGACAACAAAGTCGACAACAAACCAGCCAAGACTGAGAATGGAAACTTTGAATTCTTCGAGCCAACCGACGAAAGGTTCCATTTATTATTCGGTAAGTCTACTAAAAGATCTAAAACAGCCTAAATAATCTGCACAAATATTCTAGACTTATTTTTTAATATTTTTTTAGGTATTTGTATGGAAGCACTGTGTGCACAGAGAGACATGAGCACAGAAAACACAATAACTGTGCTTCTATCATTGGTTACATTATTGGACGCACCTGAAAACAGAGCTAGACTATTAAAAGATAGGTAAGTTATTTTTTATTTCCCATATCAATATTTCGATTCAGTCTGGTTCAGTTCTGTTCATAATAATATCTATCTTGAATCTAGTCCACATCTCGGAAAAATTACTGTAGTCTACACTAATGGACCAATTACCTCAAAAAGATTGGGTTGGATGAAAAATGAGGTGAGCGTAATTCGTGATACTCGTTGGGGGAGGCTTACCTACCTCTAGTGGTGAACAGGCTGAAATGAAGACTACTGTGTGATAGAATTATAAATAAACAACTTGAAAAAATTGAAGGCGGCCTAGAATGCCTAAGGCGGGAATCGAACCCACGACCTTTCGCTTGCCGGGCGACTGCTCTTTCATCTGACTGATAGGTCTTAGTTTTTCGGTTTCAGCCTTCACAATGTTCTTTTCATTTATTATTGTGTTATCTTTCAGAGCCCTAGCCATAGAGTTGTGCCAAATCATCCACCGCGCGGGTCTGACTCAAGAGAGCATAGAAGCGCTACTGTTGGCAGCTGACGTGTTAAGGCTTATCATTGACGGAGCCCGCGAGCAGTTGCAGGCGAATATGCAGGCCAAGATCAAAGGTATGGTTTATCTCTATCTCGCTTCAACCTTCAATCATCCATGAGATTCCGTTTCGATTAAAAACTAAATTATGACTATTTTACAATCAAAATGCGTTAAGTTGCGTGAACCTAAAAATATGTGTATTTTTCATTGTGTTTACTGGCTATGAAAAGAATCGAATGATTTTTCCAAAATTGCGGTATCCCTAGAAACACTGTGACGACAATGTCATCCAATCAGTGTCATTTAAATACTTCACTAAGGCTGAGGTGTGAGAACCACCAAACTTTGACGGTAACTTTAGTTTTTTGTATGGAATTTGGCAGATTTTTGACGTTTCTTAAAGTTAAAGTACGATGTGCAACCCGGCCTTAGACGTATGACACTTATTAAGTTATTACACTCGCTTATCTTTTCAGAATTAGCCCCCAACGAAGCGGAGGGCGCGGTCCCTCAATCTGTCCTGGAAGTTGTCCACACACTAGGCGAGGGGGGTCCCACTGGCGACCTACCCCCAGGAAAGTCCCTAGTCTTCGCGGCTTTAGAGCTATGCGTGTGCTTACTAGTGCGCCGGCTACCAGCCCTCAGTCCGCAGAAGCAGGGGGGCACGGTGGGGGTCATCGGGGTCCCACGGGGGTTGGGGGTCCATGGCGATACGTTGTTGGTGAAGAGCTTGGCTGCTATGGCTGAGCTGCCGAAGCTAACGAGCCCTCAGGGTAAGTGCAATTAGGAATTTGTTTCTTATTTGTTTATAGTTTTGTTGGCAGACTTAAGTACAATTTTCACAAGGTTGACTAATAGTTTTAACTATAATGCTATTTAGCACTGTATAAGTGTTCAAAGTATAAAGTTCATAAAACTACCAATAGATGGCGCTGTTACTTACTTAGCTCGCGGAAGTGAAATCTTCCGCGGGCCCTTTATACATTAGGTATAGTGACTTGTATAAAATCGACTATCTTGGGAACAATACCGTTGTTTGCAAAGTTGGCTTTTATTAAGCAAAGCGTACAAGCACTGAACGAACTGAGTTTACTGTAACATTTTTCAAATTCTAGAATACTTCCACGGTGAGTTGTTATTATAATGGTGCGTCCACACTGGGCGAACGGGCTCGCGCGGCAAACTCGACATCCTGCTCACTCAAGAGTAGGGTGAGCAGGATGACCAGCGTGCCGCGCGAGCCCGTTCGCCCTATGTGGACACACCATTAGATCATTGTTTACAAAATGAAATGTCATCAAAATCGACAACGACGTTTATTATTATAAGATCATTGTTTACAAATTGAAATGTTATCAAAATTTCTTCATAAAAACATGTAGTATAATTTATTCCAGGTGGACTGTCAGTTCTTCCCACGATACTGTACCTAGCCACAGAGATTCTGAAGGAATGTGGCGGCGACGGCGTCGTGGCTGAAGCGGCAACGTTACTGCTGCAGCAAGCCAGCACGTGTCCTGCAGGTGGGTTTAATGAAGGCCTAGCTTACTTGCTAATTGGGTACTTGATACATACTAACCAAGTCCCAAATCACAACTACTTTAAACCAGTTCAATCTAGAGTTGATTTTCGATTTGGTGTGTAATTCGATGATCAATCAAAATAATGAAGTTATTTGGAATCTCGGTACGGCTCTTTACAGGTTGAAGCAACACCTTATATGGGTGCATGTTTTGTGACGTCATGCTTGTAGCTGTCACCTATTATTAATGTGTGTACCGCATAACCCAGCTACGTTTGTGTATCATAAGTCAAAATTCGGTTAGAATAATATTCTTTGATTTTATTTCCAGCTCGACGCGATAGCCAACAGCATGAAAAGCTTCTACACGCTACGTTAGCTAAACTGGTTGAACGGGTCAAGAGCGGTAAGAAATTACATTCATTCAAAAGTTTGATTAAATTTATACACATTTTTGAGTACATTTATGTACAGTCGCGGAATGAAAAGGTTCGTCACCTTAGTGTCGGTTTTCGCTTGCACTAGGTACTGTAAGAGTCAAACCTGCCAACATACCCAGTGCAAGAAACAGTGCTGCTAACATTTAAATAAATGTGACGTTTGCTAACGAAGAAGGTTTTGCTTATTTTTCTGTCCCATCAGTGCAATGTTACAAAATGTATTTTTTTTATTTAATAGAAATAATAATGGCAGGTTGAACCAACAAGAAGGTTTTAGTTTATCAATCATAAAAATCTTCTTGACAAGATAAATGTCAAACAACTTTAATCTGAATAATTTTGAACTTTACTGACTAACAGTTAAAGATTATTTTCTCTAACTCGAGATTATTCTTTAACATAGTTTCAAAAGGTAATATGTGCTCGCGATTCGTTGAAGGAATCAATTTGAAAACTGACGAACCTTTTCATTCCGCGACTGTACTTTAACAAAAAGTTGCGGTCTTCAAGTTACCTATTTGCCAAGATTATAAGAGGTATGGTGAAATTGTAGAAGTTTTCCCTTGTAACGGAAAGATCAATTTAGTAAAAAACCAATTCTATTTTCTTATTTTTGATTACGGTGAAATTACTTTCTCTACAGATGAGCCAGAACAACGCATGGATCCAGTAGTAGGCGCGCGTGCGATGGCGGTACTTCTCAACAAGTCTGCGCCGGCCGCGGTGCACTACCCCTGCATCAACCACTTCCGACAGTGCTTGGACACCCCTGACAACGAGGTGCGTTGTGTTGCCAGATTTAAAAACTGTCGTGTTTTCTTCAAGAGTCCACGTAAAGTGTTAATAAAGTAACTATCTAGTTAGTGCTGTAGTTTATCAAGTTGCTCTGCTTGCATCCAGGTGCTTTCTGTGACTTTTTACTGAATTGTCGGTCCGCCAAGTGGGAGGCATCCAATGGTATACATCGCCCTTGGAGTGACCCTGAGCGTTCCTATACTATACAGGGTGTATGCCATCTGAAGGGAAAGTATTCTTAATACTGTAGATAGATAGTTCTCCTACTTTTCAAAAATAAAGGAATGTTTCCTTTGAGAAAAAAATTCTATCTACATTATTTAGAGTACTTTCCCTTCAGGTGGCATGAGAAAATTCCACCCCGCATAATAAGGCAACACATATTATAAATAACTTGAAAAAATCGAACTGCCTAAGGCCTTCGTGGGTTCAATTCCCGCCTTAGGCAGTTCGATTTTTTCAAGTTATTTATAATTTTCAAATTAGTTTGAGATGCGACTCTTAACGCTAAAAATTAAATAACTAAGGCAACACATACTTGTCAAAGATTTATCTTCTGATTGAGACACTGAGATCCCTTAAAATACTGTTTATCTTCACCCCAGGGCAAGCCAACAAGTTGTAATTTCTTTAAATTTATCTTTCAGGTGTTCGCATCATGCGTGTCAGTTCTTCGCGGCGTATGGGGCGGAGCCAACGGTGGTGACGCGGGCGGTTTGTGGGCACGCGCTTTAGCGGCGAGAGTCGCGGCGCGCGCGGCGGCGGCGAGGAACCCTAGGGACATGGCGCATACAAGAGCAGCCATCGCTGCGCTGACGGCGTTGGATGAGCTGGTAGCGGCGGCACCAGATGACTCGCGTAAGTTTTACATTGTGAAGCCTGGTCTGTGAGCACGTATAATTTTGTCCAATGACCCCAAGCTACCCATCCTTATCGCTCGCGCGTAATTATGTTGCTGTCCCGCTCGCACACTCACTGCGGGCGCCCGTCGCACAGTCGCGACAGCAATATAATTACACGCGAGTGATAAGGATGGGTAGCTTGGGGTCATTGGACAAAATTATACGTGCTCGCAGACCAGACTATAGATAGACTACAGGTAATACGGAGCAAAGTTACGGACGGTGTCTGTCCATAAACACGGAGCTAGGTAGGTAGCGTGGTGAAGAAACTATGTAGCAGAGTAATGTAAACAAAGTTACAGACTGGTTTTCCATGCGTGAAGCTAGACCCTAGCCTTTCGCTTCCCCGTTCTTCCTCTATTCTTCGCGGTGTATGACGTGGGCGGGTTATAGGCGCGCGCGGCGGCCGCGAGGAACCCTAGGGACATGGCGCACACGAGAGCGGCCATTGCTGCGCTGACTGCGTTGGATGAGCTGGTAGCGGCCGCACCAGATGACTCGCGTAAGTTTTACATTGTAAAGCCTGGTCTGTGAGCACGTATAATTTTGTCCAATGACCCCAAGCTACCCATGCTTATCGCTCGCGTGTAATTATATTGCTGTCGCGACTGTGCGACCGGCGCCCGCAGTGAGTGTGAGAGCGCGACAGCAACATAATTACGCGCGAGCGATAAGGATGGGTAGCTTGGGGTCATTGGACAAAATTATACGTGCTCGCAGACCAGACTATAGATAGACTACATAATACGGAGCAAAGTTACGGACGGTGTCTGTCCATAAACGCGGAGCTAGGTAGGTAGCGTGGTGAAGAAACTATGTGAAGCGGAGTTACAGACTGATTTTCCATGCGCGAAGCTAGACCCTAGTCTTTCGCTTCCCCGTTCTTCCTCTATTCTTCGCGGTGTATGACGCGGGTGGTTTATGGGCACGCGCTTTAGCGGCGAGAGTGGCGGCGCGCGCGGCGGCGGCGAGGAACCCTAGGGACATGGCGCATACAAGAGCGGCTATAGCTGCCTTGACTGCATTGGATGAGCTGGTAGCTGNCGGGCGGGTTATGGGCACGCGCTTTAGCGGCGCGAGTGGCGGCGAGGAACCCTAGGGACATGGCGCAAACGAGAGCGGCTATAGCTGCACTTACGGCGCTGGATGAGCTGGTAGCTGCTGCACCGGATGACTCACGTAAGTTTTACATTGCAAAGCTAGACTAAAGATAGACTACAGGTAATACGGAGGAAACTATGCGAAGCGGAGTTACAGACTGATTTTCCATGCGCGAAGCTAGACCCTAGTCTATAGCTTCATAGTTCTTCCTCTATTCTTCGCGGTTCACGTGAGTATGGCATTATTAGACTACCCCTTTTCAGAGCGGAACGAGAGAGTATTGCGAAGAGGAGATACAAATTGTGTCTGTCATTAGACATGGAAGTGGAGCGACAGAGTATACGGAGCTAAATTGTAGACTTTTAAGTTTTAAATACTCGGAGCTAGACCCTAGTCTTTCGCTTCCCCATTCTTCGTTCTTTATTCCTGGAGTAAGATGCGGGTGGTTTATGGGCACGCGCTTTAGCGGCGCGAGTGGCGGCGCGCGCGGCGGCGGCGAGGAACCCTAGGGACATGGCGCACACGAGAGCGGCTATTGCTGCACTTACGGCTTTGGATGAACTAGTAGCTGCTGCACCGGATGACTCGCGTGAGTGTTATATTGTAGCTTGATATATGGGAGCGAAATGAGGGCGTAATAGGAAGCAAAGTTACAGACTAAGTCCATAGATGCGGAGCTAGGTAGGTAGCGTGGTGAGGAAACTATGCGAAGCGGAGTTACAGACTGATTTTCCACGCGTGAAGCTAGACCCTAGTCTATAGCTTCCCCGTTTTTCCTTCTTTCTTTGCGGTGTATAACGCGGGCGGGTTATGGGCGCTAGGAATCCTAGAGACATGGCACATACAAGAGCAGCCATTGCAGCGCTGACTGCGTTGGATGAGCTGGTAGCTGCTGCACCGGACGATTCCCGTAAGTAGGCTACCTTTAGAACAAAGGAGTATCCATACTATCCATAGACGCGAGCCAAATAACGGAGCGGAGCTAGAAAGTATGCGGATCACAGTTGCGGACTGTGTTTTGGCTAGGTCTTTGCGCCCCATTTCCCTTCTTTTGTGAAATGGGGCGGGGCTAGTAGTTTTGACGCTGGCGCTAGCGGTGGCAAGGNCGGCAAGGGACCCTAGAGACATGGCGCATACAAGAGCGGCCATCGCTGCGCTGACTGCGTTGGATGAATTAGTAGCGGCTGCACCAGATGATTCGCGTAAGTTTTACACTGTAGCTTGAGATATGGAGCGAAATGAGGGGGTAATACGGAGCAAAGTTACGGACTGTGTCTGTCCATAAACGCGGAGCTAGGTATGTAGCGTAGTGAAGCAAGCAAGTGGAATAACAGACTGCTTTTCCATGCGTGGAGCTAGGCCCTAGCCTATCGTTTCCTCGCTCTTCCTTCTTTACGGTGTATGACGCGGGTGTTATGTATGGACCTACNTGGCAAGGGACCCTAGGGATATATCGCACACGAGAGCGGCTATAGCTGCGCTGACGGCGTTGGATGAGCTGGTAGCTGCTGCACCGGATGACTCGCGTAAGTGTGATATTGCAGCCTAGAACATATGAATGGAGCGAAATCGAGTTGTTAACTTTTTTATGTCCATACTGTCAATTCACAGACGGATGCTAGGTATCGAAGTAGCAAAAAATATGCGACTGGGTTTCCCATACACGAATCAAGGCATTAGCGCTCCGTTTCTCCGCTCTTCCTCTGTTTTCCGCGGCGTTGGAGGCGGGGCCAGAGTTAGTCTGTGATGTGAATGTCGTATATGACTTACAAGTATGTATTTCATCTCAATGTTTTTCTAACAATTTTGTGTTGTTTCTGCTGCATTACAGAGGATAATAGCAGAGGTAATACAGTATTTTTTAACTCTATCTCGTAAGTTCGCATTATTATTTTAAGATTGTTTCTCAGACCATAGAGTACAGTTGACGACACATAACTTGAATCCGGTAATAGTTAATAACAAAAATGTATATGAGGGTCTGATGCAGAATGCATTTCATAAAATGAATCCTTCACTCAAAATTCAATTGTGTATTTCGTTTAATCCATCAAGCTCCGCGAATCTAGACACAATAGATAATCAATTGTTATGACTTAATGTCATTAATGCCGTCTGGGACTCAATCGGTTAACGAACATAATGTTCATCTCACTAATCATACATATGTTACCACAGGTATCCAACTCCTCTGGGTGCTAGTTCCCATAGTGATGTCGTACTTGCGAAACGGAGGTACACAGCCGCCGCACGTGCGCGCGCTACACGACTTCGCGCTGCACTGGCTCACGCGCGTCGGGCCCAAGTACCCGCAGGTACGGTGCAAAGACTACCCTACTTTTGTGTGGCTTGTGTTAATGACGGTGTATTCGTTTTAAATGTTATTCCGATTATTCTTTTGTTTGAAAATTAAACAGTTTATGAAATTACGGAATTGATGTTGCATGTCTACTATGTTACAAATTTTGAGGCGAAGCACATGGCCACTAAATAAAATCGGTGTCTATTGGTATTATTATATCGCTCAGAGATTTTAAATACTCTTCTCTCTTTAAACGTGCTTTTCTAATGTTCTAATGTTTTTCATAAATTAAGTTCTGCTTACGATGTCACCCAATTGGATACAAAACATTCCACCCAAAAACTACTCTATCGATTTTGACAAAACCTCACTTAGCTTGTCAGAATATCACATAAATCATAATTTATTGAGCTACCTACTCTCACATGCTTTCTTCATAATACTCATCATATTTTCGCCCAATCTTTTGCTATCAACCCTAATCAAGACCTATCTTCGTACAGGAGTTCAAAACCATGATGCAGCAGTCAACAGAGCTTCGATCCAAGCTGGAAGGCGCACTAAAGGCATCGCAAGCCGCTCGAACCCGGGCCCAGCCGCGAGCGGTATTCGCGGCCCCACCGCAACGCCCTACTATACAACTGAAGACAGACTTCAGCGATTTCAGATAAAAAACCTTATTTATTAAATCTTCAAGCCCTGCGAATGAGGGCTATCGTTTTTGTACTTAACAGTTGGCACCCCTGGCGATTGACAGGACCTTACTCTACAGTGGCGCCATCTTGATGAGTGCAAATGCGGTAGTCCTCCTACCACTTGAGCGCCACAAGTTGGTGCCACTGTCTTCGCTACTAGCAAGTGACTGGACCTTACTCTACAGGGCGCTAACTGGTGAGCGCTAAAACGATAGCCCTCATTGAGACATAATAGAAATCAATTGAAGCCGCGATAGCTGAACGGTGAAGGGGTCGGACTGGCCGACTCATGATCCGGGGAACGCGGGTTCGGTCTCCGTCGCCGCTCCACTATTGTGGTGAGCTCACTCGTGACACAAGCATATTTAGCTTAGTACGAGGGCCTAACGGGACTTTTTTTAATAAAAAATAAAAAAATTGTTACGCAGTCTTATGCGACCGTTTGGGGTTTGATGGTTCAACTTAAAAATGTCGGTCGCTTTAGGATTACTTGCTTAATGTCTGACCTACTTAGAGACAGAGTAGTACAGAGTTTTGCTATTTAAAGCAAACGATTTTTTTAACTTTGAAACTCCTGGTAAGCGTGGAGATTTTAGGTCGAATCTTCCACTTGCTTTTGGTAAATTGGAGACTAAAATTGACTAAATTACCTAAATGATGATGATGATGATGCATATTAAATGCAAGAATCGTAATAACTATAAAACATTATCTTTTATGAATCGAGATGTCTAGATATATGGTGAATCTAATAGGCTAGTTGAAGACAGCATAACTCAATTGACATGCTTTATGAGCTATCAAAACATCATTTTCTCATAAATTTTGTGGACAAAGAAAAGATATGACGTCACCTTTTCGCCAACTTGATTTCCTATATTTATGCATAATATTTATTCAGTTTTATTTCAACATATTCCTTGGATAAATCGTATAATCCATGTTTTAAATCTTCCTTAGACAGGCCTTAGTAATATTATAATAACAAAATGAAATTATATAACAGCGTCTAACGCTAAACGTGAAGGCAATAACAAATTACGTAAAATTATAACTGCATTATATGCACCATTTGATACATACAGGATGCTAGATTAGACGTGGGAGGATTACTTTAAGGGGTATTTATTTATTCAAGTTCTACAATCAAAATAATGATCACAATTACTTTCCTAATAAAAATGATGGGAAGAACGACCTATAGTCTGGTCCGTGAGCACGTAGAATTTTATCCAATGACTATCGCGCTCCCACACTCACTGCGGGTGCCAGTCGCACAGTCGCGACAGCAATATAATTACGCGCGAGCGATAAGGGGGTAGCTAGGGGTCATTGGACAAAATTCTACGTGCTCACGAACCGGGGTTTAGAAATATATCCACGTTTAATAATTTTGCTTTTTGATATACCTGTCTCTTAGACTATCTTCCTTTACTTCTTTTATTGTGAGAGCGAGAGGTCGCATTCTTCGTTCTCATTCCTTCTTCTCATAAGATGACTTTAGTGGACTGACAATAGAAGTATTATGGAAACAAAAGAATGTATGTTCCTATGATATGATATGGATTTTATTTGTTGGAAACAATATAGTATATCGCTAGTATTGTTCAACGAATATAGTGTAAAGTTTTTATTAGGAAGGAAAATATAAATTATATTAATGTAGCATGAACGAAGCACAACGTAATAATAATTAATTTGGGATTCAAAAACCTGTAATCGATTCGAATTTTTTTTTATTTAGTTTTCATGATATTTACACTTTATACCTAACTTTATTTTATATTATAGATTTATGTTTACATTTTTAACATAAAAATATTTTATAAGTTGTAATCTCGTAGGTAGACAGTTTTTCAGTCAATTTTATTTATGTCGGTTGAAATGAAAATTATTATTGTATACGAATGATACAACAAAATGATTGTTTATCATGTGCTTTTATATGGCTATAAAATTATAAAAGTAAGTAAAATAATACATCATTTATGTAAGCCCCAAACACCTGTTAGAAATGATCGAAGATAGGCACCAATTAGCTAGATTTTGAATGAACTATAATAAAAAATAATAAATATTGATTAATCTTATCGCCTATTATTAAGTAGACTTTATTTATTAATAGATATAACTAAATTAGATTATATTGATAAAAGTAACATTTTCCTTATATTCTTAACAATATTTTCCAGACTGCTAATAACTTAAATATGAAATCGTTTTGCCAAATTTTGTAATGATTGTGCTAAACATATCACTGCCTTTTAAAATCTTATTTTCGTTATCATTCCTTTTACGAATTTCTTTTTAGAATATCAGTAAGATTTTTTCCATGCGGCGCATCTACTAACAACATTGGCTAACTAGCCAATGTTGTTCGTTAGTTAGATATCAACTGATAATCTAGATTCTAGATAATATTTTTACGTGCTAAACATAAGTAATCGTGATTATTGAAATTACAAGTGTGTTCTCTACACCTGGCCGGAAATGAGTTATTTAACTTCTTATCTTTTACTATCATTGTCAAGTAATAATATTATATCTGTAAAATTGACTCATAAATCCCGTGTGATATTAAAACTATGTACTAAAAAATTACCAATGGCATGTTTTTGAAAATAAAATGTTTCCTTTTAGTTGTCACTATTAAAAATCAAAACCTAAACAAGCGGATCCGGGATCAAAGGCTAGTTAATTTGTAGATGCGTCTCTGAACAACAGATATATTATAGATCGTAATTAACGAATATCGATGCATGTTTTGCGATAAGTAAGAGGTATCCTTGTGTTTATTTCAATCGGTTATTTATTTATAGTTAAGTTGCCAGTCAATATCGTTTTAAAAGCTTTCATTTATAAAATAAATTATTGTAACTCTCTGCAGTTGTTTTACTACACAAAACCTTATAAATCAAAGCCTTATGCCTTGTCTAGACTAGGTTTTTTGCTATCGTCGTATATTATGGCACTGTGCAAAGTAAGATTCTTCACTAGTGGTCCGACAATTTTTGTCCCGTTCGTTATAAGATGTTCGTTTCTAGTAGAAATAAAATGCACTTTTATTAGAAATGCTTTTAATAATTTTTCTAATGTACAAATTGCTCTTAATCATTATTTGCCTCGTCGATAGCCATTTTTTCTCCATTTCCAGTTTCATTTTTTTCTACACTGATTTCAGACTTGGCACCTTTTTTGTTACCTGTAAAAATAACAATTGAACATTTTGAAAAACCGTTATTTGCAGTACGTGAATATTCCTATTTCTCGTCCTCACCACTGCTATTATTTTATATAGATTTAGGGAAAAGTTATATAATTTGTCATTGGGGCAACGAAATTCATCAGAATAAAGTAGAATAAGAATATTTAAAGGAGTAAAAATACAAGTTACTGGGTTTTTTATCATCAGGCCGAAGATGGAAGTGAGCTTCGCCTGGAATACTCAACCACAATTACACAATATTATTCATTTTACATATTAAGTGAACTTACTTCTAGCGAACATCGGAGGTAGTGTAGCCACGGTGAGATAGCCGGTGTGGCCGGGAGAGCTGGTGGGCCACGCGGCCACCACGAAAGTAGTGTCACCGCTTGGTTTCTCTTCCACCGGCTTTTCGGAGCTCTGTAACAATGTAGAAATCTTTGTTAAACAAGTAATATCGTTAGACATACGTGCGGCGTTGATGAATTTTTGGTTTCTTTTCGGCAAAAATTAAATTACGGATTTAGATGAAACCACATATTTATTTATTTATTAGGTATATACTACAGTTGACAATCGAGTTTTGTTAGTAGATACTTAAGTACACATGGTTAGTAGTTAAGAGCTAGATTGACAACCTAATTGTATACACACAGCATGATGAATAGCGACACAGAGTATAACAATATTAAATTATAAAACAATAAAGTAATTTAAAGTTAAAGTTTCCGTTCTAATGGTTACCTTTGCGAGGCACCGAACTGAGTAAGTCTATCACTTGCCTACGAAATCTGTTGTGGTTTACGTCAAAGACATCTAAATCCTCTTCACGGCATGTCAGGTCGTCGTATAGACGACACATGCGCACCATTGGGTTGTAAAAGGAGGTGTTGTTTGTTAGCACTTGGAGTCGAAACGCTCGAGGATGTCTGGGATTGGGTCTGGCGTTAAAGTTTATATGTGATAGGAGATAAGGAGAGTCCAGATGGGATGGATATTGTTATTTATACATTGGTTAGGCTATAATGTATAAGGATATTCAGTCCTTTTCTGAAACAACGAAGTTTAGGCGGGCGAAGTCACGAAGAAACGCAGCGTGGGACGTCCATCCACAAGGTGGGCCGACGACCTGAAAAAGGCAGGATGGTGCTGGATGCAGGCCGCTGCCAACCGTGCGATGTGGAAGTCACTGGGGGAGGCCTATGTTCAGAAGTGGACGTCCTATGGCTGAAATGATGATGATAATGAAGTCACGGGCAAAAGCTAGTTAAGAAGATTTTTTACGATCAGTCTTAGTTAAGAGAAGATTGCTTCCGATATTGAGGTAAAGGCGCTTATACATAACATAATATATGGTATTTCATCAGTAGCATATTAGTTAAATTCTGAAACCACCACCGTAAGTGGCTGACGTCATTGGTGCACGCTTCCACACCTGCACAGTACGTGCTTGATGGGCGCACCTTCGCGCACAAAACGTGGTCTACGCTTTCGTTAGTGTACCTATGTCTTTGTATGAATGTATTTTTGTATAGAAATTGGACAGTTACCATAATATGTAATCAATCCGTGTCTTTCGGCTTCCAAACAAGCATCAAGCTGCAGTTTATGTCAAGCAGCCTGTTGGTTGGGCAACGTTTTATTTTACCGACTGTTCTTGGTCTCTTTAGTTACGTTCATAAAAAAATTACGCATATCGTTCGATTAATTTGCTGAGCGTCAGCTTTTAGTCATTAAAGCCTTTAAAGTTCTGGTAGATTTCGGTGCAAGGTTAGCAGTAACTCCTTCAGTTTTAATTCATAATAATAGATTTTATGCAAATCCAAAATGCACAAGCCGCGTTAAGCTCACCAGTACATCAAGCGGGTCAGGGCGGAGCGCGCAATTATCGATGTCACGGCGGTCGGCTGTCCTTCGGGCCCATCTCTAACACTCGATCGCTTAGCGTTTACACGCTTCGATTGGCGAGGAGTTCGCAAAGCGGTAAATGCTGTTACTTACGCAGCGAAACATGTGTACCTATATTGCTTCATAGATGCTTAGTAGCGTTGTAAACGCCTGATGAAGAGATAAGAAATAATTTCTGTCGGGGTTCTTTCGTTCTTGAAAGAATTATCTTGGGGTAACCACGTAATCCTGTAACCCTGGAGGGTTCGAACTCTATAACTTCTGGGCACCGCTGTTCATAATAGCTGGTGCAAAAGCCAAAGAAAATATTTTTCCCTTTTTGGTTGCCAATATATTTTTACAAAGGCAACGACATTTGCAAAGGCATTAGGGGCAGCGTATCACCGCATTTATTGTTTACAGAATGTTCTAATAGGGCGACTAAAAACTTGTACGTTTGCACAATAAAATAAAGTACAATTCAAAACCGACATGTGTAAACACATTCATTTACTATGGGAATATCGCCGTTTTTTCTCAACCTTTAATTATTGCCGTTAAAAGTAATTTCAAGGTGATAATTGCATGAATGGACACTCGACAGATGATAGGTGAGTAATTTAAATATTTAAATTGTTTCTTGTTCATAATGAATGCCATACGTTAGGGATTCTCTCACGTAAGTTTGTTCATGAAGGTTATTATAATAATCGCTTATTTAGTTGTATGTAATAGTGATTTCTTAACTACTTTAAAGCCCGTGTAATGGCTATAGTTATGTTATTAGCGAATACTCCATCTTTACGCCATAATTCCCACTGGAGGACATTCTTTGGCTAAAGCTTTATGTTTAAGGCTCTACTGAAAGCACAACAATTTAAGTTAGTCCTTTCAAAATATGGCTAAAAGCTGAAATAGATATTAAGTCATTTATTATACTTACAAAGTTAAGCAAGAACCAAACCACAAAAAGTTCTTTGTTGAAATCATTGAGTTATAATGTACTACGTACTAGAGAAGACATGTCAACTAGACTGTTTCTGGCATGTAAATAGGTCCACGGACCGAAATACAATTAGTATGTGCTCAGCGGTTGCTGTGACAACACGCTTGAGTGCAGTTTTGTTTTTTGAAATATGCCATCCTATAGACGAAAATACTGTTCAAATAACTCCAGATACATATTAAGTAAAAATCAAGGAATGACTTTTTACCATTAAGTTGTACATTTATGCACTTTAAAACACTAATTTAATTTTAATTTGTTAATTACAAGGCGTCACCGCGGCGGCAGCCATTTTACGAAAATTTCAAAGAATAAAAATCGCAGAGTTGACACTGACGCATAAATTAGTATACGAAAGGAAGGAAGATTTTTTTAAAGATTATAAGCACTTTGTATTGCACAAATTACTAATAGTCCCGTCCAGCCCCTTGTGTTAAGCTAAATAAGCTTGGGTTACGGGNTTATCGCCATAAATTATGAAACTTGATAGTCATGGATTTGACTGACAGCTGTCCGTCAAATTCCCGCCCCGCACCCCGCACTGTACATATTTTGTTCGCGATGTCTGTTCTATACGTAGTAATATTACTTCAATGGTTGAAATGTATTGAAAGTTTTCTCTTCTTTTTTGAAAATAACCACTTCCTGGAAGATTTTTTTAAGGATTTTCCACTACAGTTAATTATGTTATCCTTTTATACGCTTAGATATTCTTTAAATCCAAAGAAGATCCTTCTATATTATCTCAGAATCCGACCTATTACAAGATGTCACTGTTTTACGCTTGATATGCCGCCGTCCATCCATAGATCTCTGTCCCAACCAGCAACTGAGCATCCCAGTGAGCTAATCTATGAGTGTCAACTGCCTACAGCCTATAAGTTTATGCAAAAATAGCATCTAATACGACGACGCAAGGTGCTAGTAGCTTGACGTGCAGCTATACCCGTCGCAATAGGAAGCCGAAGCCACCGCAATCTTACAATGACAGAGCGCACACAGATTTCCTTCCGATGCCTATATTTCAGTACCTAAATCCTTGCCCCGAAGTGGTGGTAGGACAAGCTTTTGGGACGTGTACAAAGGGCCTAAGTACCTTATTTTTTTATTTGATTTGAGTGTAGTATAGTTACGGATTAGCAAGCATAAGTGGCAATGGGCAGGGCACATAGTACACAGAACTGACGGCCAATGGGGCAGCAAGGTTCTGGAGTGGAGGCCACGCACCGGAAAACGCAGCGTGGGACGTCCACCCACAAAGTGGACGTCTCTGATAAAGGTAGCAGGAAGGCGCTGGATGCAGGCCGCTATCAACCGTGCGATGTGGAAGTCATTGGGGGAGGCCTAGGTTCAGCAGTGGACGTCCTGTGGCTGAAATGATGACTGTTTATTTTGATACTTAGTGCAGTTGTACCTGTCGCAATAGGAAGCCAAAGCCACCGCAATCTTGTACAATGACAGAGCGCACACAGATTACAGGGCGGTTGGCTGCGCTTGCGCTTCCTCGCCATTGTTTTGGTGGTGCAAGGTTTAGGCGCTAAAATATAGGCATCGGAAGGATGCTTGCGAGTCTATTATCAAAAATGTTGGGCAAGCACTTGCAATGATATCTCCAATATATTGTTATTTTCTTTTGAATAAATTGTGCATTAGAAATTTTATTCTAGTCCTTTGAAAGCTTTTTTAACGACACTGTAAATAAGTCAAGATGTAGAATTCATTCCTATTTGGTACTAAATGTATTTAATCGGATATTGTGGACATTAGTAAAGCTTTAAATATTTAGATTTTTTTACCCTAAATGGCATATTTTTTACGTCTCTAAACACATAAGTGATGACCGCACGATTAGTCGGGCCGCGACCGCGATCACATAATTTGGCGACACAAACCGCAACCTGAACTTGAGGGGCGACCTTCACCTGAAGCATTAGCGATGACTCCGGCACTTGTCTGCGAGATTAGTACAGACTTGGAAGGATCTCATTTAAAAATGTTTACTGGATAAAAACACAAATTAACATTTAAAACAGGCCCTTAGATTTTATTCTGATATCTACTATTTTTTAAGTAAATTTTGTGGCAGTAGTTTTCATGCTAGTAGAAATTTGAGATCGATATTTTCGTTTGAGAATTCCAAAAATCTTGTTTAAAGGTGCACAAAATACCTATTAACGAATTATCGATATCAATTCAGGATAGAGAGAGAGATAGATGTTTATTTGCGAATCCATGAGTCGACATAGTTCTACTATTTATTTGTTTGTACTAGAACTCACTAAAACAATGTTATATGCAATTCTAAATTAAACATAGGTACAGCTCAAAAACTAGGTAGGACAAAACTCAGAACAGAAATAAAATATTGCGGTTTACAACCAAATAAATGAATAAAATGTCATATATTAAGTTTATTGCTTATAAGCAAAAAGATTTTTTTCTATCCGCTCTCGATATCGTTATGAAACTGGGAAAAATTCTACCTAAAAATAAAATCCAAGCCAGTTCAAAGGCGACGCGACGGCAA